TCCATGAACTGGGTCTTTGTTTAACAACCTTTGCAACAGTGCGTCATAATGGTAAATCATGCTTTAAAGTTGAAAGGTTCTTGAGTTTTAAATGCTTCAACAATACTCCAGCCTGCGAATATTTCAAGTACCATGATTACTGCATAAAGGACATGAGGTAAAACCGATTTCTGAAAGCGTACACTTGGAATTAAAAGGTCTTGAACAACAAAAAAAGGATTACATTTTGGTGTGCAGTTATGTGAGTACCACAACCTTTTTGCGTTCCCCTATAATTTAAAGTCTTATTGAAAAACAAAAAAATGAAATAATTTAACCACTGCGTAATAACACCATATGCTCGAGGATACCGAGCTAAACAACTGGTCTCAAATCTCAAGTAAATATAAACAGTTTAGGAGATTCATCTTTACACTAAAATGGTTCCGTAGCCGAGTTTTGTTTTCGTGCTGTAAACCGGAAATTTTGGTCTTCGAATATCCAACGAAGGGCTTTTCTATATGCTACTTCGAGCATCATGGGGAGTTAAAGAAAAGGTATTAAAATGATATCGAAAGCCGTGTGTAAGCAAGTCCAAATGGACTAGAGGCCACGTCAGGAAACTAGGACAAGGCAAGAGAAAAAAAACAAGATACCGCCCAAAAGAACTAAGAGTCATGCAGCCGTTGAATGGACCAGTCAGCGGAAGCGCCGAGAGCCATGCACCGCTAACGTTTAGCCAATCATACTACAGCTCCAACAAATCCGTGCCTGTTATTGGTTGAACTTCATCCTCACGACGAAACGAATTATCCATGCGGTCATTTTGCTGCCGTGTAATTGGTGGGAGGCGTGCGAACGTAAGTCAGCTCATTTGTTTGATTTTTTGACATCACTTATTTTGCATTCGAATAGTTCCATTGAGCTCCTCGCCTGTTCAAATTGCTTGCTAGTGCGAATTAAATCAACATTGTTTGTTTTCAAAACTAAAAAAATATCACCGATTTTTGACGTTACAGCTGCGTTTATAGGTAACCCAGTTTCGACCACACCGATTGGCCTGCGGCAATGAAATAGCATGTCTTGAAATGTTGCCAAAGCACTTGATAATTTTTTTTATTTGAGGAACTGAAGTGCGCACACAATTATGACATCTCACTGTTGCGGATTCTATTTTGAACAGTTAAGAGTCATTATTGTCATTCTTATCAACGGATTACTGACCGTCATTTTCACGTAATAAAATTATTATAATGATAAGATGCAAGATGTGCCGCTTAAGGGTACTAGGAGGAATTTGGTGACCCGAGACACTGAACAATTCTTTTCTATCAAATTTAATGTCCTCCTCATCAAGAATCCTTCAGTTGGTTTGGACTGGATTTCGATCGCAGCTTTTCACAACTCACCCTTTTGATTCTCTATTCCCAAAACGCAGAACGCTTTACGTAATTAAAGGAGTCTGAATGGAAAAAAATGTAGTGCAAAAAAAGGGCTCAGAATCACACATGTAAAGATTGACGAATGTTAAAATTGTCTCGGGAAAGTGCTGTAAATTGGATGAAGGATATTTGGAATTTGTTCACTTTAGCAATTAAAAGTGCTTATGCATTGCGTGAAGCTATCCTGTCTCCGGGGGAATGCATGCCGGTCTTCTCCCTTTTTATTTCTAAAAGTACAATCAACATTTCCTAGGAAACTCCACTACATCTACCAAGTAGCCTGGAATTTACCAGTGTGAAAATTTGAAAATAGAAAGCATCGAAATCAATCAAATTGCATGCAATTTAAACAAGAAGGTCAAAACCCAATATCTTGTGGGCGTCTTTTTGGTACATAACCTAAGAATCAGAATCAGACTTCAGTAGTCCTCTTCCGAATGCTTTTGAAATACTGTGGTATTCCGGGTCATAAGATATTTTTTTGTTGATGATAGGAAACATTAATACACAGAAACGTAAAGGCATTTGAAATAGTTTGCTATCTCTGGTTTTATTTTCCCGATCATGCTGAAGTTGAAACTTATAAAGTAGAGTTTTTTTGGTTCCTCTCACCCGAAAATGACCGTTGTTGATGAATCGGATTCGTTGTATTACAACGTTGACTGGCTAAGTACTAATTTATAAACAATAACGTCAGCGTAACAAGTTTTGACAGTCACATTTCTATTTAATTTAGGAATCTTGCAACTAAAGATGTCAATACACTTTCGCTTAAATTTGTGTATGGAGTGCTGTAATTTGTTGGATGTTGCTATTTTAAAACTAGAATTTAAACAATGAAGTTAAATTGGAGATGTCTTTTTACCTCGTCTGTTTTCTGTTCCTTTCCATTCTTTGTCGTGTCTCTTAAACAATACCGGATAAAATGTACCATCTTAATAGGCACGCCTTCTGATTCACAATTTGAGTGACGAATACTGTTTTGCCACGTATTGTTATTTAAAAAAAGAACTTATCTTTGTACATGCAGCAAAGCAGTCAGAACCCTGGTAAGTTAAAAACTGACGCTTATATGCCATTAGTTATGTCAATGTCTGAAAACCACACTTAAGATATTCACACAAACGTGTTTTTTGTGCAAGTAAGGGTATTTCACATGCTATCTTGGTTTTGGTTCGACTTAAGTTGTCACATCCAACGGGCGTTCTTGGGTTCTCGCTTCTTTAGTCAAGCAGACATTCAATTCACTCAGATGCAGTTGCTCTGTGCTGCTGTGAGGACACAATTTTATGCAGGAATAACGTGATTATGGCCAACAACGAGTAATCGCAAGGGCATAATTTCAATTTTTTAAGATACTGGGGTTGTAAGAATTTAACCAACAACAATGATCAGCACAACAGCAGCTGATTGGTGAGAACTCATAGAATAGACATTGGTAGCGTATTTGACAATCAATTATACTTGATCTACGCCAGATAATTCTCTTCAAAGAACCACTCAAAAGAATAGAAATGCTGGTTGAGACTCACGTGCAGCACGGTTCGAAATCCAGGGACACGAAATAAACGCTCTTGTACAGGTAAAGAATGGAAGCAGCATCAGAAGCAGCATCAGAAGCAGCAGTCGGATGAGAGAATTGAATTTAAAGGTGGTCGCGAGTAGGTCATAAAGAAATGAGTCCAATTCGTGGAACCCTCTTACCCTCTAAATAACTAGAATTCAAATTCTGTACAATCAGCTGTTGGCTCCATCCCAAGTTGGGTCTGGTATTAAAGGAAAAATCTTGATTATTTATTAATACGTTTAAGGCCTCTCAGTTAAATGGATATCAGTAAGGCATTAGTTCTGCTGAAATAAATTTGGGAAACGTGTCACAGTCTGGTAGCTCGACTAAATACAATTAAATTTGGTACTGGAATAGTGTGAATCAATACTGCTTCTGTCAACGGTACAAAACCAAGCCAATACATATGTAAATTAATGCAGTTTTAGTATTTGTTCAATTTCAATATGAAGTATGGAAGGCTTGTACTTTCTTAAGGTAATATTTTTTTGGTAAATAGCCCGTCAAATATAAAAAATGAAACCAGCGGACAATGAATGTCCATTTACGCGATTGGGATATTTTATTCCATTCTCCTTGACCTTGAATGTCAAAAAATCATTCATTTTAACACCTAGCATTTCCCGTAGGTGAAATATGCATTTGGGTTTTAACTTTATCGGCGAATTTCGGACATGCCTCAACATTCACAGCTAAAACGCCCGTCAGAAAATCCCTCTTCAAAGCCAAGCTATTAGTATGCACGCGATTTGTCAATACGACCCTTTCACTTCAGATTAGAAGCTTATATCCTACTAACAGCAATATGCTACTTGAAATTTCCTTGATTCAAACAAAAGGCTGTTCGATTAGCCGTTTTACACTGGTTTTTTCAGTAGAATTATTCATGTTCATTTTTCTTGGATGTGGTCTAGCCGGCAACGTGCTTTGCGTTCATGTCATCAGGCTGGATCACTGACATGTTAGACTATGTCGGGTCAACGACACCTGTCACACCTCATTCAGTCACTCCTAGTGTTGGAGAGCTAGCAGCGAAACTTGTCATTTTTTACATAATTTATTAAGTTGGGTCGGTTTCCTTGACTTAATTAAAGACTTTTAAAAACAGTGTGTGGAAAAAAGCCCTCTTGTGGGTCACAAAAAACGTCAACACATTTTATGTCCCAGGTGGTAATTAGTCTGCATCCCTTGGGACACTTCCCACTACACAACTGCTCATTCGACAAACGTCAACTGACATAACGCAGTCATGACATTACTACCTTACTGGAAATTAAGGGAAACCAAACATACAAGCTCCATGGAACCAAAAGGAAGTTTGTGTATGGCCCCTAGATGCCTGTCGCTTGGTCACTCCTCTGATAAGCTAATTTTGTTTTTGTTATGGCATGAATAATTCATGGTTTATCAAGGCCATGGCTTCCTATTTGTGTATGACCTCTGTTAGTGAAAAAGTGGTTTTTCTTATTTTTTGATTGAAATATAGTTTCTATTAATGAGAAGAGTTTATCGATTGCCAGCCTCAGTGTCATCACCGCATGTTAATAGGTGCATCCATTTGACCCCTTATATCAATGGTCATGCATCCTTGCTCATATGAAATTCAACATGTTAAATTATGTGTTAACCTAGACACTGGTTACTTGTTGCTTTGGCATTAAACCTATAGGCCGATCCATTTCAAATCCATCATTGGTGGTTTGTAAGAGTCTGCTCGTCACTAAGTGTAAATTGGGATTTCGATAACAGTTAATTCCACTCTTTAAATAATGCGGATTTCCTTGTTGTATCTCAATTAAGGTATATTCTCTTTTTTTACTCAACTGTCCCTGTTGGTTTACATAGTGCAAAACACTATTAACGAAGCAAACACTAATGGCATTGACTTGGCGGAATAAATGCGTGTCGTAAATACGTAGTTCAAGTTAACTCCCAAGTAATAAAACTATCTAAGGACCATTTCACGATTCCAGGTACAAGTCAGCAACTTGGGCAGTGTACGGTGCACTGGAATGTCCTCAAAAGACTTGTCTCCGGCTCCTCCGCCTCCGCCATCACTACAACAACCACAAGCACAATTGGTCGACAAGCCAATGTCGGAAGCTGCGAGGGTTTCCTCTTTTGCAACAAGAACATCTCATATCTGCACCGCATCCACCTCCAACATCTTCCGCAGCCTCTCCACAATCCACCGATCGGCCTCTGTCCTTCCTGCGTCCCTCCTGGACCTCGATGTGGCATCAACTGCGGGCCTTCAGGTAAACCGCCGTTAAATTTGCACTGCGCTTGAAGTCCCCATTTTCTAAATAATGTAGATTGAATAAACAACACCCAGCATTTTAGGACACTGCCTTTGTAAGCGGTCAACTCTTACCATGTTTCTGGACTGTGTCGAAATTGTGGAAACGTCGAGTTTAAGCTAAAAGTGTCTTTGTAGCAAGCTTATGGTAACTCGGGCTCACACTCGCACATTGTTTAGATGAAGTCAGGCACGGTGCGAATGAACAACATGTCATTAAACTAATGCAACTTGTTTCATTTACTGCATGTAAAAACTTGAACGTGGTTGTTGTTACACAGGACCGACTGTTGACAACGAATTTTGACCAATAACATTGTAAATTGTGTGACACTAGCATGAAAAATGTACAAGGCGCTTCGATTTCCACATGATTTATTTGTGTTATTTCTGGAACATTTATTTAAGAACTTAGGGAATTGACGTTTTCAATATTTAGTTACTATTTGGAAGGTCAATTTTGGGCGTTAAATCCAAAGTGATGTTAACGTAAATGCCAGCAAGTCGATTAAGATCGTTGCTATTCAGTTTTTACACAGAAGAGGCTAGTTCTGGACATATGATGCTTGCATTACGACAAACTCTTGATGCAAGAGGAGTTCAGTCGATTTTACATTCTTACAACTTTGTTTCGGTCTCACCGATCCTGAAGGCATGGTCTAGGTAATGTTTTGAGTCGGTCGTTTCGTCAGTTCAAATCTTCTTGAAGGCCACTTAAAACTGAGCAGTCGCGCATATTGGCAGACCTAGTTGGTATTCCTCGGTCACTTTTCGAGACAAAGGTCGGTCTTTTGTAAATGAATGTGTGTGCAGGTGCTAGGTCAACTATTCCGTAACATGAGCGTTTTCAGTAAATTATGTTTCATAAAACAAAGCATTTACTAGTTGGTGTGTTTCCACCGTCACCTGATTCCTGCGAAAAACCATTAGAATTTGTGAAAACTGACTGAGGTCGACGTGTTCTGTCGTTTTGAAGGTGACAGCTCAATTGCACATTTCACCTCTGGCCTGTTGACGCATCTAGCACGCAAATGAAAAATTGATTTATGTTTTAACCTCCAGAAATCACCATGTAATTTTACCAGCAAATGTTAATTAAGGCGTCCAGTTGTTTTGCTGAAATACGTGGCCTGTTGATTAGGAATGATTGTTTAATTATTTACTTTAAACCATAATCTACTTTATAAAAGTAGGAGTCGTCTGCGAAGGAATCGTCTGTTCTGACACAGTGGGTGCTTCAGAATCTCACTAGATGTTATGACATTGTCAACATGAAACAGTCTTCTTTATAAACTTCAGCCTGCACTCTAGTGGTATCGTGGGTAACTATTGTGTCAGTAGAATGCGGTATTACCTGACCTTATAAACCCTGACGTTCCTATTTCAATTTGGTGTCACTTTACTGGGAATCTTTCTTAGGGTTGAAAGCGAATGAAAGGAATGATTGATGCCTTCTCTGCAATCACTGATAATTCACCGATGCTTTCACTAATCTCCATAATCTCTAAGGTAATTGCTCGTCACGAGCAATAAGAACAGTGTGGCATTTACTTGCGTTTAACAAAACGACCTAGGAGTCAGTCGACGTGCTCGCATCGGGACACTGAAACAACGCCAAGGATCTTGGTTTGAAAACGTCCCCCTCAGGTTTATCTTGTGTGGAAAAACCAAACCATCTTTGGACCGGTGATTGAATTTTGTGAATGCTTAATGGGAGTATTTTGATTTACTTTAATAATATTGTGCGTGGTCGATTCTCACTCTAATTCGGCCGGTTTATAATTATAGGTCAGCTATGAATACCCTGTTTTTTTACCCCGCATAAAAGGCTTTGTCAGCGTGTTTTTGGGTTGGTTATATAGAGGCAAACAAAACCACATTGAAATATGCCATAAAATCTTAGTCTTAATTTATATCTCATACAATCCTTTAAACAAAACGTTTCTAAAGACCTCTCATTGTTGTGGGAAGGGTTAAACAAATGGCAAAGCTTATCTAGCGATGGGCGGTTGTCTGTGACATCAAGGTATAAATAGAGTGAGTGCAATCGCCTTTTAATTGGGTAACCGAATGGGCAAATCTGCTTCAATCCCGTAATCCTCTAGCTCAAATCGGGGGGTTTTGTGAAAATTTCGGTTAGACTTGACCTACCAACTAGTAAGTTCGGGCAAGTAGACGTAATTTACTTCCGACATTTCGTATCAAACACAATCGCCAAGCCCTTCATCCTTCAACTAGACAACTCGCAATCGATACTTCATCCACGGCATCTCATAACCGCAGCGCTCTGTGTCATCTATGTAGGTCAGAACCGAAAGAGGCATTTGGCCTTAATGATCTCTGTTTGGGGTTGCGAAATTATTATTTTATGTAATGGTAATTTATCTACCACTCAACTTCACTTTGGAGGCTCACGACCTTCATCTTGATACCATCAGGTTCTTCTTCCATACAACATTATGATCTGAGAATGGACATGTCTTTTTGAAACCACAAATCTGTCGATGGATTTCTTGCTTGGTTATTGCTAAAATCTCAAAGCGTTCTAAATTTGCTCCTGTTTCACTTCTCTTATAGTGTGACAGGTAAATAGTAGTCAATACTACCATGAGCGCTTTTTTCTCATGGTCTGAAAAGGGGTCCGCGTCTAATTAGGTTGTCGTTACCTTGTTTCATTTCAACGTTTCGTCGTTATCGAATCGCTAATTGTACAACTGGTAAGGATTCGTCACGTGGATAGTAAGTAATTAATGCAGAACCCTCATTTACTTAATCCCAAATCGAAATATCTGGCTTGAAATTTTCTGTTAACTGGCGTGCACTGCGGTAACAGATACACTCACTATTTGTGATTTGAGCGCTGTCCGTTGTCTTGTTACTTAATATGATTTGGAACCTCAAACTTTCTTGTGCTTGCAACTGCAACGGTAGCCCTGTAGCTTGTGAGGTAATGTGACGCGCGGCTTCAAAGGCGCTCTCATTAAAGTTCGAACGCTTCTCTCCAGGTGATTCGGCCAGAAACCCACCCCGAGGCCTTTGTTCCAGTTCCACCAGACGGGGGATGGGGGTGGGTCGTTGTTTTCGCCGCCTTTGTCACCAACCTGGTGATCGATGGGATCTGCGTCTCCTTCGGCATTATGGCGACCGACCTCGTGGACCACTTCAACGCGCCGGTGGCCACCGTCATGCTCACTGGCTCCCTCCTTCTGGGCGTCTACCAGATAGTCGGCAAGTCTTAACGCACCTTTGATTTGCTGAGAAGCACACGGTTAGGTACATCGTGAATTCGGCCAGACCGATGAGAGCCGTTTTCACTAACTTGGATGGTGCGCCAAAGAGACGAAGCAAGTCGAGCGCTAAGAATCGCTAGTAGTTAGGCTACTCAGGTACAGTAACGTACAGTGCTTAAGCAGAGCGTTTAAAAATGCTTTAGTAAATGTGCAGAAGGCGTAGCAAGAATCCAACAGCAGCATCAGCAAATATTGGGCATGCCTTAACCAAGGAATTATTGGAGGGAGGAATTGAGAGATTAGTAATGCTGTTTGAGAGAAAGAGAGACAGATTTATTGCCATCCTAACTCGAACAGTTCGATGATAGTTGAGTTTGATTTCGAAGAAGTGTCATGTGATCATGAATGTATAAAGTAATGGTCAAAATGTTGAACTTTTGGTTTGTTGTTGAGACCTCAAGCGCAAATAATTGAACCCTCTTGTTTAGCACTTATAAGCCCAAGGCTGAGTGAGATGCGTCCGCTTATATTTGGCGTGGATGCCCTTGACTTCAGGTCAGATTAAAAGTACACTCGAAGGTGAAAAGGCCAATTGGGAAGGTAACGGCCGATAAGAGGACAAAAATCGGAACGCATAAACCTGAATGGCAATAAAATACATAAAATTGCCAAAAGCGTGAAAGATATAATCGTGGGGATGCTAGATTCGTAGCACCTGTCTTAATGGATAGTGAGGTGCCTTTGCAGCTTTGCCTTATCCATTTTTCC